GTAGTTTGCCCGACGAAGCTAGCTTTGGATTCGATCCGATCGATCGATGGCGTGGAACAAGCCAAGATGGTCTCATGGAAGAGCACAACCGAAGCGACGTGTCTGAGTTTTTGACTGAACAAGTGTCGTTGTTCCTTCTTGTACGTAAATCCAATGTGTTGACAGTGGTTGTGAATGTATCGAGCATCAATTGCAAGCGGGATAAGCGCTCAAGTAGGTTGTGATGTTGGTCAACAGATTTTCCCCACACAAGACGGACGCTCCACAAATTGCCTCATCGTTTCAGGAGGTTACCAAATACCTGGTGAGTTCGGTTCATATACCCGACCGTCCGACGGATAACGTGGATTTGAAACCGTCTGATCGAGATGGAAGTTACCACGACGACGATGGACGTTCGAAGTCGCAGCACAACAAAGCCACAGCACGAGTGTGTCCCGAACGTCTAGTTGATATCATGGACTTCCGCATTGCGGATGCTGGTGAAGGGTGAAGCTTGCTCGAAATCATTGGTACGAGAACTATACCCCCCGATAAGTATGGCTGATGCACGTTCAAACGATAGAGTAACGTTAGAATTCAAGTTGATGTACCGCATTCAAAGCACGTGCAGCTGCATATCGTCATCCAACCTTCGCATTTGCTTGTAACCTTCGTCAGCCCTTTGTAGCCCTTTACTGTTAGCTCCCTGGACCTGGTACCTTCTGCTCCCAGGGCAGTTGCCTCGATCGTTCCTTGTTAACTTTAACTTTGGTCTATTTTTACATCATTATTTTATTATTTCTTCTCAAGGTATAGTAATTCGTATATCTATTTTGAATGGCGGTGATATTATTGTTCGAAACGAATAAAATGTCCAGATACTACAGTGCTGACGAGATTCTGCCCAAAATAAGCGGAAACTATCGTCACCATGGCAAGTTGGTTCGGACACACGCAGACTGTCGCCAGCATCTCCAAGTCCGTCACGACCGTGGCCGGTGGGATCATATGCCTCGAGTCCAATCTTAGCAACTTCATGAAGAAGGTAGGGGGAAGAGAAGTCACTACCGTCACCTTCATGTGTGTGCGTACATAGGTCATCTATTACGAAGGGTTCTTTCAACGTCGAAGCGGAAACCTCCCAGAAGGTACTCCATCGCCCGTCGGTCCTAGGCGCAAAACGTAAGCGTGGTGCTTGATGTTGCACATGTAGACGTCAACTATGCGGCGCGCAAACTCCTTCGACGATGCCACGAATACCGCGAAGCCATCCGCGAAGAACTCCAGTACGAACACAATCTCCTGTATGCGTTTCATGGTCGATGCTAGGTCGAGTGTGGCATACGTGGCAGACGCTGGACGGTGGGTTATCGGCATGGAAGACTGGAACACCAAGATGGAGAAACGCATGCATCAAATCTCGGAGCTCGTGCTCTTGGCCAACAGGTCCTCGTCACCAAGCATGTCCCTTCATGCTCATGTATCATGTCCTTAGTCTCCTGGTGGAATTTGCCGTAACGGGCGAACCCATCTCGAACGAGTCGCTCAACGACCTGAGTGCGTACGTGAACGTGATCACGAGCACCATCACACTGCAGGACGACGCGTTATTTCACGATTCGCTCAAAGCTGCGGCACGACACAAGATAGTGCCGACAGATTCATCTCGTACTCGTACATCATCATCATCCCCTGCTTCCATCCCACCTCCCGTCTTGACGTCAAGTCCGGCGCCATCGATGGTGGTGCCGCCGTCGCCTGCCAACCGGTATGACTCTGACATGGCAGACATGGACGACGACGACGACGACGACGTGCCCGCCCCCGATGACGAAGATCGATTGAATCCGTTCAACGTGATGCTGGACACGTGCAAGCAGCCGCGGACGGAACCGATGGCGATTCCCATGAACGACACTCGATCGAGCGATGGAAGTAGCAGCGGCGGGCGATCGTTGTCGCAAAGCAGCAGCTCATTTCCGAGTGATTACTGCCATTTGGAGCGCGAATACGGCGACGAGTTGAGTGAGATGACGTCGTTCTCGTCCACGGCGCCGCGGAAGGAATGGCAGCCGCCGCCGCCATCCAAGAAGAAGCACGCGGCGGCAGGCAAGCGGCCCCATCACCCGTACGAGAACGCCGTGTACGACCTCACGGTATCGTATGACTTTCAAAAGGAGCGAATGAGCAACCCGTTCGTGGCCAAGGCCGTGACAGTGGTAAGCCTGGGGCATGGCACGCGTCGTTGATGGATGGATGGATGTAGGAGCGGAAGAGCAGCTTGGATGAACACACAGTGACGATCGTGGAAGAGGAGCTGGGGCAAGATGATGGCACCGACGAAGACGACAACGTCGACATACTAAGGTCGCGAGAGTCCGTCCCGTCGTTTCTTCAAGCACGTGGAGATCAAGGACGTGTACACGAAAGATAATGCAACATCATGTTAATATTCGATTACAGAGAGAGAGAGAGATAGAGAGAGACAAAACGGCGTCAGGGGAGAGGTGTCATGCGCAACGTTGACACGAACTCGCGTTCTTTGAGGGAAAGGCCCCACACGGGCGACCCCTTGAAGTACAATCGGTCAATCAGCTGCTGGGTACTCTCGTCTGCCACCACTTGCGCAAACGAAGCGCTGTTGGCTTGCTGCATCAACGTTTGGAGGTGACGGATGTCGGCTTCTTCTGCACGATACCCAGGTGTGAACTTGGCAGTGCCTTCCGAACGTGATTTCAACGAGCCATAGAAACCTCCTTGGCCTTCGGACGCATGGCCTCCAGAGTACGTCGTAAAGGCGGCGCGCGGCAACTGGCGTCGCGACATGCTTGACTGGAGGAGGGCCCGGGAGCGTAGGACGACCGCAAGCATCTTTGCAAATTCAGATTTTGGAACCGAATCCAATTTGATTTGCGCATTCACAGTGTTGTTGGAAGTCATAATGTTATACAGGTTATATTGCCTCGGCAAAACCTGTACAATATAATACTCTTGAGAATACAATACTATGTGTCACTTATACTATAGTAGTAGATGCAAAAGTCATACAAACTACAAGTAAAAATAAACAATAAGGGTTCGTCTGGTAACCGGAAATATTGCAATATTCAGGCCCATTTTGGGGCCGAATTCAACAAATCTATTCAAAACATCTTTCAATTTTGATCTGATTTGTTGAATTCGGCCCTAAAATGGCGCTTTGGGCCTGAATAATATTGCAATATTTCCGGTTACCAGACGAAGCCTAACTACTTCAAAATAATATGTGTTGTGCCATATCTACTTTTATTTATGCCATTTTAAAGCTAACTGTAAAACCACCGAAACACCAAAGGAACAATGGCATCCCACTTGAATGAAGGACGTGAATAAAATATACAAACACTTCCGAGGCAGTCATCTAATAGTCTCTCACTCTTCTCCTCAGCCCGTCAGCGCGCTTCCTTCTTGGTTATTACTTTTCATCGAGTAGGCGAATGTGGGCGGAGCACATGCCGCGGCGGCGACACGGCTTCTCGCATCCTTCTTGGCGGCAGCGCTTGCCTCCCCCGTGGGTGGCACAGAACCCCCCGCCGCGGTCGTTGCGCATGCATCCAGACACGCCGCAGAGCCGCGACCCTCCGTGCAACGCGCAGAATTCCCCACGCTGGGTACCCTTGTCGCAGCCTTCAAATAGACAGCGTTTGCCGCCGCCGTGGGAACGGCAGTACCCGCCGCCTTGGGAACTTCGGTCGCACCCGTCAAAGAGGCAGCGGGGTCCACCGCCGTGCGCTTTACACAGATTGTTGGACTGCGCCGCACGATTGCAGTCCTCCATCTCGCAGCGCTTTCCGCCGCCATGCTTGATGCACAAGTTCCCGCCTTGGCTGCTTTTCCCGCATCCGTCGACAGCACACCGTCGGCCGCCGCCGTGGGAGATACAGAGGCCATGCGAACGGGAGCGCCGCTGGCACCCCGTCATTTTGCACAAACGACGATTCTTGTCATGCGCATTGGTTTCACTCGAGTCGTCGGTCCATGAGTCGGTGTCACTGCTCTTCATCCTTATCGCCTGAGTGTCGAACTGAGGGGGCGCCACAAGTTGCATGTTGAGAAGTTCTTCGTCGCACTCATCGTCGCCATCCAAGTAGGCACCCAAAGGAGACTCGTCGAGAAGGTTGAGGGAGATGACACCGCTGTTAGGGTCGAAGGTAGTCGGGTTGGGGTGGACGATCGGTGTCGGCACAGCAAGCGACGGAATGAACGTAGAAGGGCTGCGATCCATCAAAAACGTGTACAGAATGTCGATTTCCTTGTTGTCGAACTCTTCCGTGACTTCGAGGTCGCTGTCGCCATCGGTGGAGCCGCCCTTGGGCTTCACCTCGTCGTTGAACAGAGCATACTCCAACAGATCCTGCATGGAGCTAGCGTCGGAGTCCAACGTGTCGGCGGCGGGTTGATATTGGTTGTTCATCATCATCATCGGGGGGTACATCGATGCGGGAGAGGCTTGTTGCATCATGAACTCGAACGACGAGGGCTTGGCGTACGCCGACATCATCATCGGGTTCATGAACGGAATCGGGTGGATGGCATGAATGTCCATCGCGGTAGGCATCATCCCCTTTGCCATGGAGGAAGCGCCATACTCATTTCTGGTTGCTTGTTGGGGTATCTTTGTGGATAAAGTTCCATTGAGAGTCCCTTGGATTTCCAACGGACGGCACATGTTCGTGGGGAGTCACGCTGCAAAGGCGGAGCACTGGCTTGTTGGTTGCGTTTCTTTTTAACGAATGCGGAAGCTGCCTTGTCTTTGTTCCCAACCCGTCGTCTGATTGGTCACGGCTAACAATGGCGCCATTTGATTGGCAGTTGAACCTTGCCACATCGGGGTAGGGCACAATTCCACCACTATACTGGAGGCAAGTGAAACCTCGAAAGATATGGGGGTTATCTTCTTTTCCAGTTACACTTACTGTTTGTATGCCCGGATGTGTAAAAATATAACGTGGTAGACAATCATCCAACTTATGATCTCACAGTATAAAACCAGCACCGCACACACACACGCAACTGATATGGCGGTGGACGGCAGCGCCATGTCTTGACGAAAGAAGCATCCATGTTGCCTGGCTAAACGAACCTCTTCTTGTCGAGAACTTGACGAACCTGTCAAGCATGGCGATGAGATCTGACCTCCGATCTGGAGATCCTACGAAGTGCCTCACCATGTGCAAGAGGTTGTCTTGCGGCTTCGTGGTTCGGCACTGACCAGAGCATGCAGAATCAATCGTCTACCGGTAGTCACCGCGTTATACGAGCAATCGAATTGGTGTTTTGCAAACCGTGGCTTTGTCTGAGCAAGCACACGAAGTCGAGGGCAACATAACTAGCAGCATCACATGAGAGATAGTTCAGATGAAAGATGTACACTACTGTGTATCACACACCTGGAAACTGCTTGATCGCTAGCTCCAGCTCCGGTGTCATGGCAGTGGGTTGTACAACCACCTACCTTTGTGGTTACATGCGAACGACTGAAGGTACGTACGTACCGAAGGGCCGACCCATTCGTACGTTGGCTGAGTTATCATCTTCAAAACGAGGTCTCCTCCATAGGCACAGCCTGCTTGTCGTGCATTAGTCGTGCACATTGAATGGCGAGGGTACGGTAACGCACCGACAACCACGTCGGGACTGAATTCTTGGATGGTCGTGGCAATGGCGGAG